GGGTCTTAGCAACTTGCCAATGGTGTGTGGCAATTAGGTTTAACTTGATCTGATTTTCCCAGAAATGGCTTCATTTCGGCATTTTACGTACACAATCATTACCTCTTGGAAGAACAAGATATGGCCATTGATCGAGGCAGATGACAGGTTAAATGGGTATTCGGTTGGGCTTAAGTGAGAAAACAACAGAGGTGACCAAGGACACTGGAGACCTGTAGGCCGTGGAAAATTGTCCTCAACAAGTTCCCTGCATTGCATCACATTCTGAGCTTTTATGCCATCGGTAATGATACCCTAAAACTCAAACTCCTGCTAGGCCGTGTGTTTACGAAATGTTGCTCTTCAAAATTGGTCTAAAAAACAGGAAGTGTTGCTGCTAGGCTGTGGTACTGTGCATTCTGTGCTCCAGGGGATCGATCAGCCATACTTGCTTGGTTGTGTATAGATGTTGAGAATCGCGACAATAACTTCTGGGTTGGAGATCAACCTAAATGGATGAAATTTATCGTGAATCGCCATTCAGCCTCCTCGGCAGTCTGCTCTTCAACTAATTTCTGTTTTAAAATTGAGAGAACAATCGTACGGTGCAAACCATAATAACCATGAAAATTTATAACATACTCGTATTAGAATTTGAGATTTGGTTCTCTCCCTCTATAATTTGCTCTTTCTTTTCTGCATGTCTTGTTTCATTTTTGAGAATTAAAAGAAATTATCGTGAAGTTGTGGTCTTTGTTTTGGGATTACTATGAAGATCATATTTACTTGCATAATGATGATGATGATGATGATCATATCTAGATTAGATTTTGATCATAGGTAGTACTGCAATCCCTACTTTGGTAATGGCCTTCTGAGTTAATGGTGATTCTAATCTGATTTCTGGTAAGCTTCTTAATTTACTTGTCTCCCCCATTGAATTAATGATTATTCGTTCAGGTATGCTAATGCTTAATTCTATTGATTTCAAAATTTTGTTTTTGATACAGGTTGACTGCAACGTCAAAAGTTTTCTGTGAAGTTTACAACAGCCTGCTTCCTTACCTTCAGGTTATCACAAATGTTTATAGATTCTATATCTGTTTGTCCAGATACATGCAAAAAAGCTTTGCTTTTCTCTCTTCGCTGACTGTTGAAGTGTACACAAACTGCACTATTTGAATATATTAGAGATTTAGAGGAATTAGAGGGATAGACATACAGTAATGCTACCTCATAAAAAAAGAAAAAAAAGAAATACAGTAGTCTAGTAATCATTTGTTTTGCATATTCATTAGTTTCCGGCATCTCGCTCCTATTGAGTTATGGATCATGCATTCTTATTCTTCTTACCTGTCTTGGAATTGACTTTTTCTGGATCCTTTGTTAGGCACGTGTTAGCGAAACGTATGGGGGAAGTCTACCGTTGTCTTACGTGAAGGACTAATTTATTACTACAAGTGGTGTGTGGGCTCTGCCTTTGTCAATGATTTGGCAATACCTGATTGATGATCACAACACTCTCCAAAATCTCACCTTCACCACTCTCTGAGAGTAGGTTTCAATTTGCCAACTTATATATCTTTTCTTTTTGAACTTATTTCACGGGGGGGGGGGGGGTGAGAGAATAGAATCTGATCTGGAATATAT